AAGCTTGACACGTCTACGTTGAAATTCAGCAAACCAGCGATAAATTGTGGTTTTGGATGGAGCTTCATCACCAAATGCAGAACTCATCCGGTCAACACACTGTTTTTGTGTTAAACCACTTCGAACGTCATAATAAATCATCGCTCTTAAATTTTCTCGAGTCAATTCCATTTTCTCAACGACTAAACAAGTTTGACACAACCTTGTAACAAGACCGAGAATCTTTTTTTTAAATAAATAAATGGTATTCAATTTGTGAAAATCAAGGACTTTTCAATTAAAAAGATTTTAATATGACAGGAACAGTGAAAATATTCCATTCCCGATACTTTTAGTGCAACCTATGTATAAAGAATTTTTGTCAAATTTGGTGAAAACAACAACCCCTTGTTTGGAAGCTACTCTACCATATCTGTTTTGAGGATCGCAATATTAGGGCTGTTCCATCACAAAAACATCGAAGTCATTGATCTTGATCTTCTTATCACGATTTGTTCGTTTTTTCCACGTGCGCGTGATACCTTTGACGGACCAGGCACACCCAAATTTGAAACTGAACTAGTCTCTCTTTCTTGTCTTAAAATTCGGGTTACAGTAGATTCGGATTCATCTGTAATCGTTAAACAAATGCAATTTTATTTTACTAGGTAGTTTATAAAATTTGAATATTTTAACGTAACGTTAGTGACGTTACTAAAATATACATAACATACTTACTTACTTATAAACAAATATTTTAGTATCATCTTAGGAAATAGATAAGCAAATTTAAAATATGACCCAACACCATGCGGTACTGTAAAGGTTAGTCTAAATCTTTGTAACAGATCACCTTATAAACATACCGATCATGGTGGCAACTCTTGCACGAACTTGTTGTAATGGAAAAATCAGCTTGTTTTAGGCCTTTTCTTTTTCATAAAATGCGTAAACTTCAAGTATAGTTTGCCTTTTATTTATTCACTTTCGGCATTTTTAAAAGTAAGTATAAATTATTAAAAAGTAAAAGAGCACACATATAGCAACCGATCAAACTAAAAGAAAGATGGCGATTGAGTAAACAGTGCTATTATACCGATCAGTCACGCGTCAAGTTAAGATGAACGGACAATATTATATCGCCAAGTCGAGCAAAAAAGCGGAACGGCAGTACCATCCTTTTCTCGAAGCAATTCAGGCCATTTTCGACCCTCTATAACTTCGTTGTGGATAAAACTAGAAGCCTGAATTTTCAGTAAACAAGTAGGCGTTGTATAATCTCGATATATTTCAAAAATTATTAAATTTAAACCAGTAGTTTAATAATTATAACTAGTCAAAGTTTCTTAATTTTGTCACTGACTGACTGACTGATCATCAAAACTCTAAGGCACTTCTAGCAGACATAGAAGCTTCATATTTGAAATACAGCTATTGTTTAGTATATAAATCAAGGAAAAATTAAAATATTTTGCAATTTCGGTCCAGTTTTCGAGATACACCAACTGCATAAATAACTTTGTAATCTCATATAAATATATAGGATTACAAAGTTACATTTGCAGTGAATGAATCAGTGTACCTATATATGTGTAATATAGTGGAATAATAGCTGTAGATACATACCTAAATATAACTATCTACAAAAAGAAATCAGATACCATCAAAAACATAACTTGTAAAAAACCAAGTCTCGCAACTCAGTTCTTCTACCGTAAAAAGTTGTGAGATCCATGTAATACCAAGTCGGTTAATTTATTTACTTCCTACTTAAGGGTCCTTCTGTCTTAAGTTATTACGTAATTAGCTAACCTAACAACATCTTATAGTGACCATATCAATATTAAAAATCTTTTATGTTTTAAATAAATAAATTGACTTGGCAATCGCACTAATCACACTAATTTAATATAATATGTATTACTTGAGAGATACATTGCGTTTTCATGCGATGGCCAAATCAATCTATTTATTTAAAATATAAAAGATTTTTAGTATTGATATGGTATAAAATGTTGTTGGGTTAGCTAATTACGTAATAACTTAAGACAGAAGGACCCTTAAGTAGGGACTGAATAAATTAACCGACTTGGTATTACATGGATCTTACAACATTTTACGGTAGAAGAACTGAGTTGCGAGACTTGGTTTTTTTACAAGTTATGTTTTAATGGCATATTATGTATGTCGATTGCTCAGTGTTCTAAGTTGCATGCCCTCGCAATCGTTTCTATAGATAATACTATATATGACCGTTGAGATCGGAAGACCATGTTTCTATGCACCACACTCGCGCCAAAAAAAGGATCGTGTGGTACACGTTGTAAATACCTATTGGTCGATAGAAATAGTGAAATAGTGATAGTGGTTGGATTTTTTTACGTAAGATTTTGATACTTAAAGGTGTTGCATTTGTATTTATGAAATATCTGCGCATTTGAATTGATATTAAAAAAATTGTAACAAGTGCTCTGATAGTTATTTAAATCATCATGATAATATAAATAATCTCTAGGTAAAGCTGTCGTCAAAATCTCTTTTGGTGTAGAGTTTTTTGAAAAAAACTCCAACCAGACAAGGTTGTGTGGTTTAAGACCTTTGCCTGCTTATAGAGGTGAAATTATGATGCATCCAAGCCCTTTGTCCAAGCCAAAAATCACTAATGCTAATATCTAAATGTCTTAATTCAAAAATAAAAATGATTAATGCAAAAAAAAAAAACGTAATAACGTAAATTATAAAGTTGTATGCGTGAAACGTGATGTTAAATCAAATGTCAATTGTCAATTTGTCAAAAAACTTGGTAACCATTTTTAATGAGGCTTTAAAGAAATTGCACATTTACTTTTCATACTTAAATTTAGATATTAGTACTGAGAAAAGTAAAGTTGTAATATTTAATAAAATTCGTCCATTTAACACTAGAATAATTTATAATAATACATTTTTACCAATAGAAAGTTGTGCAAAATTCTTAGGTGTAATTTTTACAAATAATTTATCTTGGACCAAATACGTGAATTCTATTACAGACAGAGCTTCTAAGGCCTTTAATGTATTAAAAGCTTTGGCTAGTACTAACTGGGGAGCTGATCCAGAAATATTATTAATGTTATATAAGTGTTTGGTGAGGAGCCATTTTGAGTATGGCTTCCTTTGTTTTGCATCAAATAAAAACTAGTAAACAAATTAGATAATATACAAAATAAGAATTTAAGACTTATTACCGGCTCTATGAGAACAACTATTGTTTCTTTACAGGCTGAATGTCTTACTCCTCATATCTTACTTAGGTTTAAATATCTGAAATTTAGGTTTTTATTAAATATCAATTCTTTGTCACATCATCCTCTTTTTCAAAAAATATTATTTTACTATAATAGTATGTCTCCTATATCTAACTCAGCTCCATATATACTCCATGACTTTCATGAAGTGATACGATATGATGAACAATATAATATTCACAAAAGCACACATACTTGGCCTTGTTATAAGGGGAATTATGAAAGTAAATTCAGTGATATACACATAAATATTGATAAAAAATTGAAAAGAAAAGAAGAGGTTTATGAACTTACATCTACATATGATGAATATCGACAAATTTACACAGATGGTTGAAAATAAAGTAGCCTGTGCATTTTACATACCTCATCTGAAAACTGGACGTGGCCTTTCCATTCCTGCATCAGCAAGCATATACACTGCAGAATGTTATGCTGTCTTAATCGCTCTTAAATATATAGAAGAACACCCACATGTATCTAATAAATGGTTACTGATCTCTGATAGCATGAGTGTCTTGAAGGCACTGAAGGAAAGAGCTTTAGATGCTAAAACGTCTTTCATCATATATGAAATCAAAAGTTTGTGGTGGAAAATGAAAGAAAATAATTTGGAAGTAAAATTTTTATGGACTCCGTCACATATTGGGGTTCAAGGAAATGAAAGAGCAGACCATTTAGCTAAAAGTATAGTTACAGCTGATATTGAAAGAATAACCGATGTTGCAATACCACATACAGATTTATATTCAATTTAAAAAAAAACAGTTAAAAGAAGAATGGAAAATGTAATGGAATGCTGTTTTAGAGGCAGGAAAAGGTCGTTGGTATGCATCAATTAATTCAGAATTAAGTATTCGTTGGTTTTCTCGCAACGAGAGATATCATAGCAGAAAATTTTATACAATAATGTGCAGACTTAGATTTGGCCACTATCGACTGAACGCTCATATTTCCAGGATGAGAATAGTAGCATTTGCAACATGCAATTTCTGCGATACAGAAGCAGATCAGACTGCAGAACATATAATATTTAACTGCCCAGCGTACGCCATAGAAACATTGCTACTCATTGAAAAACTTATACAAGTTTATGAAAACTCAGAAAGCGTCCCGCGTGCCCTGCAAGATGTTCTTAGGAATACTAAGACATATTTAGCACTTTGTAATTTTATTCATATTACTGTAAAAGAAATATGAAATATGGTATCCCTGTTTTTGAAAATATTGGATTGACAAATCTACATGGATTGTAACTTACAAAGAGTCTAATATAAAGAAGACTTGGCTTTAGCCTTTACGGGTTTTTGAAAATATGAAGAATTAAAGAAAATAAGACTTGACTACGGCCTTTATGGATTTTGAAGAGATGGAAAGAAGAAAAATAAGACTTGGTTCCGGCCTTTACACTCTAAAACTCTATATATTCAAAATGAAAAAGACAAGGCTGTATGGCTTAGTTCCTTTGCCTGCTCGCTCGAGCGAATAATAAAAACAACAACAACAACAATCAATTTGTCAATATGGCAATGTCAATGTTTGTATTTTTGTGTAATATGCAATTGATTGCAATTTATATTTTAAAGTAATTAAACACCCTGTTTTCAACTGATATCAATAGTTATATAATACCAGTAGTCTTTGTAAGACTCTTCGAAAATGAATCGTCTACAAATTAAATCACAGTGCATTTGTTAAAATTTAATTTTTACTTTGTCTAAAATCATTTATACGATGGAATACGATAATGATGAAAATACATGGAGGCGGCCATCATCACTTAAATTAGAACAAACAGCCTGCCACACAACACCGAGAAGATCAACTACCATTGCTGTTGTTGTATTAGGATTAGCGGTACTCAGTTGTCTGCTGGGATACTGTGTTTTAAGCGAATCACTTCCTTACGAGTCTAAAACGTTGCGCCTTGTAATTATTGTGAGTAGTTAATAATATTGTAGTTTAAACTGGGTATGATGCCAACATTTTTTTATTCATTTAATAAAACTACTTTACTTCCACTCTAGGAATTGCTTCTGTCTAGATCTGAAACCATTATTTGTAGGCCGAACAAATAGTTGTTCTATGTGAAATTCAAACCTGCAGCCTGCAGCTAAATGCTTGGCTTGGTTATTTGTATTTATTTGACTCATCATGCAGAGGAAGCGAGTTAAAAAGTTAAAGAGTTTATAGCATCTCACTGTTTAAATTGTTCCCCATCACCAGTATGTGTAATTTGGTTTCACTGTTTTTCATTTGTTATATTTTTAAAAAGAAAGCATATTAGTCTTTTTATGTCTTTATATAATAACTGTATACTACATTTTGGCTATTGTATATTCATCATCATCATCATCATCATCATCATTTGTACAGACTATCAAAGTTTACTGCTGAACATACATATAGATTGCCTCTGGGTCAATTTGGTTAAAAAGGGTATTGTATATTACTATATTGGAATTAATATTTATATGAGGGATGTAAACATGGGGATTATACATAGTTAAAAAAATCTTTTTTTTTTTTTCTAAATAGTCAAACAAGTCAATGCACCTTTCTTTAAACCCAGAATTCCCTTAGACAAAAAATCTTTAACAAAAACACCTCAACAGTATCCATCACTTACTATTGTCTGTAAATTTCTTGCCCCGAAGGTGTTCCTTGAGATGAGGAAATAGTTGGAAGTTAGTGGGATCTAGATCTGGTGAATAAGGCGGGTGTTTGAGCAGTTCAAATCGAGTTTGTTGAATGGCAGCCATCGCAACTGTGACTTTGTGAGCCGGATATTTGTCTTGTTGAATCAGCATTCCAGATCGCAATTTGCCACATTTTTTTTCCTTAATAGGCTCCCGCAATCTTATTTGGTCTGCATAGTAAAAGCCCGAAATAGTGACTCTCTTTTCTAAATAATCCACCATAATTATACTTTCAGTATCCCAAAAAAAAAAAACCATAACCTTTCTCGCCAAACTTGACACTTTTAATTTCTTCAGCGTCAGTGAGGAGCATTGTTTCCAAACCATTGATTGTTGTTTGGTTTTAGGATCAAAATGATTTTCCCCCTTTAGAGATTCACTCTCGCAATGTCAACTTTTTTTTTTGCTCGTCGGTCAACATTCTCGTTAGCTCGTTACCCAATGTGCAGAGACCTTCGTCATATGCAATTTGCTCGCAAGGATTCTTTGAACACTGTCATATGAGATCCCTGTGACCTCAGCTATATGCCTGATACTCTTAGATCTGTCAATACAATTCCACCAAGTTACTGTTACCTTACCTTGGTAGATTTTTTTTTAAACAGAGGTACTTGTTGACAGCTCTTATTTCATTTTTCTCCATTTTGATATTATCTATTCAATGATTTATATTCAAATGAATTTACCTCCTGAGTATCATTTATTAGCCTTTTTATATAATTTTTTTATGCTGATAGTAGTGGGTACAATAAGCAAGCAAAAAAATTTTTTTTTGGATTATTATATGCACTGGAAATAAACAATTATCATGACTCTTGTCTCACCGTACACTCCTTGGAGGAGGCCTGTGTTCAAGAGTGGACTTGTGATGAGATGTAATGATGATGAGGATGAAACACACAAGAGAATGTCTGTCTTCTATACAATTTACTGATGTGATCTATGGACGGGAGGCTGGAAGTCGTCAAATCTGTGTGTGAGACTATTCGTAATACCTCTCCAGAACAGCATGTAGCCGCAGCTCAGAAGCAAAATTGGTCTATAATTCTTCAAAAGAGCGTTGTCGCCTTTCTTGAAGAATAAGACCAGTGCACTATTGCTCCACGCTACCAGAGTAATGCTACTATGGAGAATGGATTACAGAGCTTCTGAAGAACTTCAAGTTCTGGTTTTTCACTCACTATCAGAAGTTTAACTAAAATTCCATCTTCGCCAGGGGGCATTGCCGTTTTTATGGTGCTAGATAGCCATTCTAATTTCGCTTAGATTGACATTCGAGATTTTCCCGGAACTGTTGTTTACTGTTGGATTTCTCTTTGATCATTATTCACACTTACACGTGTCTTCAACGTGATATATACATTACTGCGGTCCATAGAACCTCATAATCTCACCCAATATTTTACCAGAAAATGACGCTGCCGCAATCGGTCTTCAACTTCTACAGGGCTTTATCCGGCAGACCGATTTTTGGCAAAGACTGAAGCCTTAGTTTAGCCTTAGTGAAGTTGTGTAGGTAAGTCTCACCGCATGAGATACGTCTGTTCAATTTCCTGTATTCTGTCATATCTGCTGAAGACTGGCTTCTTTTCCCGTCTAATAACCATGACATTAAGGGATGATTGAAGAGTTCGGTTGGGTTCTTCGGCGACGGGTCTTGCAGAACTTAGCTCAGACCGCGTGGACAATTTCCTTGAGCTTGACATGTATTTACATCGTCCATTTTGCTGCAAACTTCTTGGCACTGAAAACGATTTTGTTTTTTGACTGAAAGTTTTCAGGACTTTTGATCAAAGCCTGGCTCACTTAGCATTAGACGTGAGCTCTCAAACTTTTAGGGTCAGTGTGCACTTACAATCGGTGATCGCAGCCAGTTTTCACTCTCGCTCTCACTGAGGCATCACTAAACAGTTGCCATCTGGTCTTCATAATGAAGTCCATCTCATTTTTCGTCGAACCGTTGGAGCTAGACAGGCTCCACTTCCTATGGGGTCGTCTCTAGAAGAACGAATTCATTGTAAAGCGCAACTAAAGATAAGCTCACTAAGTATTATGGCTCTAGAGATATTCTCTTACTTCTCCACCTCCACCCTCTCATTGGGAAGTGCTTAGGTCAGTGTGTAGACCTGTATGACCTTCAACGAATACCATTTAGTGACTGTGGACACAGTTCCAATCTTCACAAAATTGTTGATTAGAGAATTGGATGATAAATCCAACACCTTTTAGGGACAGATGGTCGCCCTCCTGGTAGTAGAACAATTATTACCTTGTCCTCATTCTCTCTTCAGACTTCAGATTATTGTATAATATCCCAGCGCAATTTGTCTCTTTTCCAACTCCAGGATCTTCTCGTCAGTCTTCTGTGGTAACATCCGAACCTCCACCATGGTCGCCACCGTAACCAGGAATCGTGGGGCCACCAGGGACTGGGAGCTGTAAGTTTGTGTCCTTGCGTATATGAGGATTTTTAGCGTAGTTGCCTTGCTTGGCAGACATGGCATGTTTGCAACGACAGTTTTTTTTCTAGTTCTAATAGGAGAGATGCTGTTACCCATTTCCTGGTTTGTTTTCCTCTATCGCCTCTTACAACACCCATGAGACAATATGGTGTAGTGGATATTTCTATACCGCCACTACATGGTATTAATTAGCCTTATTAAGGTTACACTAAATTGCATGTTTCTTCCTTTGATGGTTTTTAAAAGCGATTTGAAAAAAAAGCTAGTCAAAATTTTAATAAATAGCACAAAATGTTTTCTTCTTTTTTAGTTATTCCGGCATGGGGCAAGAACTCCTGTTAATAGTTACAAAAGTGATCCATTTAAGAACTATCAATGGCCTGATGGGCTTGGAAGTCTGACTAATGTAAGTAAAACTACTTGTATAAGTAGTTATTATTTGCATACCTACTGCATTATTCTATGGGGCATTGGGGAGGTTAATAAATAATACACTAATAAACGGAGTTTCTTTATTCAAGTTATTTTTAAAGAAATCATTTCAAAAACTTCCGACCTAAAAGTGCGTATCTAGCATTTTGCAGGACTAATGTACAGTGGGTTGTGAAATTATTAGGGACAGTAATGAAAAATTGGTATTGGTTTTAAAATAATTAAAAAAAACAAACAGATTTTTAATTAGTAATAGTTATAATGATATAATATATTTACTTACCATGTAAAATAAAATAAAAACGTGTGCTGTTCACTATGTGGGTAGTAGTGAAACCTTCAAATGAAATCAAATAAATAAAAATATTTCACGGCAAATTATTTTTTTAATAAGATAATTTTCAACAACATTCAACAGCATACAATATAAGATAAAAGTTTATTTTATAGCAAATAAATGCTACATTCCTTATTTTTAGACATATGGAGCCTAAATCAATAATGTAATAAATCAAAAGAATATTTTCTTTCGAGTAAAATTGTAATAGAGCCATCTACTTATAGAATGATAGAATGATTTTTCAACTATTATTTCTCATTTCTGTGGTTTCGTTGTATTTAGATTAGTTAAACAATTACTCCTTTAAAAAAGTGAAATTGGCCATTATTTGATTTTTTTTATTAGATGATACATCTTATTTAAATAACAAGTAGATCGCTGCTAAAAACTACACCAATAACGGCTAGTGTGGCATTTTGATAGTGAATGCGCCTGAATGTGGGTGTGGCCGATTGTATGTACAAGCGAGCTGGCTTATTTGGGTGCTTCACTGGATGGTATAGCGTGATTCAGTCCGTCTTCTTTTACATTCATGTGTAAGATGAACGAAATGTGTATGAATGTTTCCCGTCACTGTGTTTGGAACACTTTCCAGTCATTTTTAAGGTTATATTTATAGTATACTAGCTGACCAGGCAGTTAGCAGTTGTTCTGCCCTCTCCGACGACCCTGTGTCCTATAAAATTTCTTAATAAAAATATTGAGGGTCACTTATAGGGATAAAAACTATCCTATCTCTCAAGTTGGACCAAACTGCACACAGTGTTAAAAATTTCATAGCAATCAGTTTAGTAGTTTAGGAGTTCATCACGGACAAACAATGTGACACATAATTTTTATATATAAAAATAATCATTATCATTGTTATTAAACATGATCTCCGAATCCTCTCTAATGCTTGATCATCGTTGTGTTGGCTTAAACACTACTTGCGTTATAATACCTCCCGCGCAGTTAAGAGGTCTTGAAATTATTCGGAAGTTCTCAATAGTATGCAAGAAATCATTAAAATATAACAATTCTTTATTTTCTATATTTTCGTATATGTACTGGCTTGTAAAATTTAGAATATTAATTACATTAAACATTTGCTCTAACGAATCACAAGAGCGTAAATCCTAAATTACACTTAATGCCCTTTTATAGAAAATAATAGTCTTTGTAGAAGGAAAGATTGTGAAAATTGAAGGAAAGAACCACCACAGTCTAACTACTACTGACAGTCGGTCATCGAAGGTGTCTAGGCAGGGCAATAGTGCGGTGCGGTGCGGTGCGAGACGCGAGTAGAGCACTCCCGAGCGGCCCTTAGCCACTCGGGAACTGTCCGCTAGGGTTTTCCTGTCACGCAAATAAATCAAAATGGTTCACACTACATGTGCTGTAGAAAACTGTGGTTCGTCCTCAATAAAGATAAGGAATTAGTTTCATCAGTTTCCACATACACATTAATTTGTTTACACGTAAAATAAAATAAAATCAGTTCTTTCTTTTTTTTTATTACTTCCCGTTCTGACAACCTTAGCAATTTATTATTTGGGTCGGCTTTTCCGACAACATCAAACACGAGTATGTTTTTCTTAGGCTGTGGAACCACTTAGCAAGCGTTTTATAATATGCGAAAATTATTTGAAGTACCATACGTTTTAGTATCTTTGAGTGCTGCCCATTGCCGGTCTGGCTGTTTATATCTGTCAGATGCAGTGATATCTTCTTGGTTATCCCGTAGACGAAATTTACGACACTCACCAGAGGTAATCATTCATTGTGTCGCATTAATTGGTGGTAAAAATAATTACAATAATTATATTATTTTTAAGGCTGGAAAACTACAACTTTATGAATTGGGCAAGAAATATCGAAACTATTATGCTAACTTCATCCCAGAAGAATATTATGAAAAGGACGTCTATATTAAGAGCAGTGACAAATCTCGGTGCCTGATGAGTGCATACACTTTCTTAGCTGCCCTTTATCCACCCTCGGAACGTCAATTATGGCATCCTGAAATTCCTTGGCAACCAATTCCTGTACATTCGCTACCTAAGCATTTGGATGATGTAAGTATTATGTCATATATTTGATAGGTTTTTTATAAAATGTGAAAATAAATCACTTAGCGTGCGTGCGTGCTTGCGTTCGTGCGTGCGTGCGTGCGTGCGAGTGTGCGTGTGTGCGTGCGTGCGTGCATGTGTATGAGTACGAGAGAGAATGTGTGTCTATGTGTATGTATCATAAATTATTATTGAAGATACATTCTATAATTATAATAGTTGTTTTTAACAAATTTATATGCATCATAGAGCATGTTATATTGCATATTATATTATTAGATTTATTATTTAAAATTCACAATTGTGGTCTTTCTAGATAGTAGCACAGACCAAACCTTGCAAAGTTTGGAAGTCAATGTATCAAGAACTGTTAGATGAGAAAAATGCCGATCCTAAATTCGCCGAGCTCTTTGATTACCTGAGCAAACACACAAATCAGAGCATGCGCAGCGTTTTAGATGTAGACTTCTTGTACAGCACGCTACTAGCACAACAGGATGCTGGACTGAAGCTTCCAGAGTGGACAAAGAACGTATTCCCAAATAAAATGCGCACGCCATTTATGCTCAGCTTAGCTTTATTATCATACAATAAAACATTGCAAAGGCTGAAAGTAGGCAAGTAATTATTTCATTAGTCTTATTATATAATAATCATTCCCATGTTTGCATTTTACCCTTTTTTTATTTAAATGTATGTATTTACCTATCTTAACCAATATTAAGTTTAGAGCCGAGGCAGCAGTGTTCAACTAAAACTCAATCCTTGATGATAACACAACTTAACGTTCACGATCTCACTACAAAACGTGGTTTAATGATAGTCTCGGTTTTAAGCTATGATTTAAGAGGGAGTCCTTCACACTAAAAAAGCCGTAAGCCGCGGCGCCAGTCTTCGCGAAATTTGAAATCAACATCATCAATCAACCCTGCTTTACATTTTAGTTCGCATATTTCCGAAAACTTGAGATAACTATTATAAACTACCTTTTTGTACCCTTTTGTAATAAGACAGTCAATGTTCAGCGGTAAATGAAAAGGAATCTTGCTTGAATTAGAAAGAAAATAGTGTTAGCAGATATTTATTTCTCCTGATCATGACTAAATCAGCCTCAGTCCAGTGAAGTGGAAGAGTACGGTGCGGCTTGGCGGCAAGGTAAATGCATGCTGTTGTATTCTAGTTGTGTGGGAAACACGACGACACGCTAAACGCTCCGCTGAAAGTTGCTTGTCAGTCAGGCTTTACACTAGAAGTCAGGCCTCAGGAGAGAGCGTTCGGCAGGGCATGTGGCTTAACGTCTTAATAAACACGCTGTAGTATAAGGCCATTGATCCGACGAGCCAGCTTTACCGCGGGTTTACTAACTCGCCGGTAGCGCTCGTTGGTTGATCATCGTAAAACGACGAGCCAAGCTTGCGCCTTGCCAGCTTTGTATGAAATTGCTCAAACAAAGTACAGTACAGTTGCTTAAACAAAGTAATAAAAAAAGGAATGATGAGTTGTGAGTATCACCGCCGTAATATTAGCCTCAAGCTTATGGCTCGACTTAGAACGTAGGTAGTGATTATATACTCTTTGGCTTGCTCGTCGATGGTCTCCAGGGCCGTAAGAGTGTTCCTGAATAGCGCTCGTTCGAGTTGTAAGTGAAACACGTTGTCACGCCACACGCCCCGCCGAACGCTTTCCACTAAGTTCTAAGGCTTGGGCTGAGAGCCTTCCCATCTCAGATATGAGTTAAGACGCCTGGCGATTGGAGGCCTGCAGTGAGCTGTTCGCAAAATTTTATATTTTTATTACGAGAGAGAGAGAGAGAAGTTAAGAAGCAATCTTCTATAACAAAAAAAGCGTATAATAGATTGCTATTAATGTCGAATAAAGTGTGGTTTACATTACTTATTTTCAACATATTTTACCGGATCAGAATGTTTGACCTAGATTTTCTCCATCGAATTTCTAGCCTATTTTTATAATAAAAATAACCTAGTTAGGTCAACTTCCGTCTCAAATAGGTAGCGTCAGTTATTCTTATATAATATTATTATCAAACTCCTTTTTATGGAGCTAATTAGACTAGAATAGACGCTAGCAGCATGTCTAGGGAAAAGTATCAGCTTGTCTAGGTTATCTGTCAATAGGAGCTTGAAACCGCAAATCAATTTATATAAAGTAGTCTAGATTAATATACGATACTGTAGCACAAATGTTTCATATGCTTTTAAAAAGAGATCTTGTTGCTGCGTAACGGAAAAAAAATGTTAGTGCAAAAATAACAGAAAAAAATATATACAAAATGTGGTAGCAAAGTAAGAGAATTCATTGCTTCATTTCGTCCCGTGGGTGTTACATTAATATACGATACTGTAGCACAATTGCTTCCTAATCTTTTACAAAGAGATCTTGTTGCTGCGTAACAGAAAAATAAATCTTAGTACAAAAATAACAGAAAGAAATATTTTTAAAAAAATGTGGTGGCAGCGTAAGAGAATTCATTGCTTCATTTCGTCCCGTGGGTATTACATTAATATACAATACTGTAGCACAATTGCTTCCTAAGCTTTTACAAAGAGATCTTGTTGCTGCGTAACAGAAAAATAAATCTTAGTACAAAAATAACAGAAAGAAATATTTTTAAAAAAATGTGGTGGCAGCGTAAGAGAATTCATTGCTTCATTTCGTCCCGTGGGTGTTATATTAATATACAATACTGTAGCACAATTGCTTCCTAAGCTTTTACAAAGAGATCTTGTTGCTGCGTAACAGAAAAATAAATCTTAGTACAAAAATAACAGAAAGAAATATTTTTAAAAAAATGTGGTAGCAGCGTAAGAGAATTCATTGCTTCATTTCGTCCCGTGGGTATTACATTAATATACAATACTGTAGCACAATTGCTTCCTAAGCTTTTACAAAGAGATCTTGTTGCTGCGTAACAGAAAAATAAATCTTAGTACAAAAATAACAGAAAGAAATATTTTTAAAAAAATGTGGTGGCAGCGTAAGAGAATTCATTGCTTTATTTCGTCCCGTGGGTGTTACATTAATATACGATACTTTAGCACAATTGCTTCCTAAGATTTTACAAAAAGATCTTGTTGGTGCCTAACAGAAAAATAAACCTTAGTAGAAAAATAACAGAAAGAAATATTTTTAAAAAAATTTGGTGGCAGCGTAAGAGAATTCATTGCTTCATTTCGTCCCGTGGGTGTTACATCAATATACAATACTGTAGCACAATTGCTTCCTAAGCTTTTACAAAGAGATCTTGTTGCTGCGTAACAGAAAAATAAATCTTAGTACAAAAATAACAGAAAAAAATATTTTTTAAAAAATGTGGTGGCAGCGTAAGAGAATTCATTGCTTCATTTCGTCCCGTGGATGTCGTAAGAAGTGACTATGGATAATGGTGGTTTTGCTCTCGGTTTGGACATCTCTACATCAGACTTAGAATACCCACAGCGGTGACGAGGAGCAGCGACAAAGGTGCGAGACGTCTGGTACTGCGGTCGTCAATCCGCCTGCCAAGCGCGGCGATTGAGTTCAATCCTCCCCAAAACGGGAGAGGCCCATGTTGTGCAGCAGACTGTTAGGGGTCACAATAGAAGAAAAAATGTAACCACTAATATACTTTCTGGTATATGTACGATAACATCCTGGAAAAACTAGTAAACTAGTACAGATTTATGTAGCTTTTAAAAGATGTTTCAATTTGTTTGGCGTATGAGTTTAATATCTGCTTGAGTTGAAATTATATGATTATTATAACTTTCTTCTAGCATAATGATTTCTTATATTATCGCGTTATTTTATATTCCATACGTTTCGAGCACTTTACACCACCTATGGTCACAGGGGGGACTGAGCTCTATGACGTCCCAATGTCATAGTTAACCACGGCTACCTCCTTTCTTCTAGCAAACACTAATTATATTTTATAAAAATAAGTAAGATATATTTTGTAATAGCGATATTATACATATAAATAAAAACTTGACTGTTGTGTATGTATTGGCATTGCAATGTATTATATTGCAAATATTATCGAAACGTTTACCACTCCACTGATTTCACAAGATTTGCCACAATAGCGTGCACAATTGCCCGTCATAACAGCTGTAAATTTATTTTATCTGTTTATATACTTACTCGTAAATATCTCTGGGTCAGATATAGTATTTAATAGCATTAAATCATATTTTAGGGCCTATCTTAGCTGAAATTAAGATAAATTTACAAGAGACAGTGAATCGTGCAAACTCTGACCGTTCTCTGTTCTTGTATTCCGGTCATGACGTAAACGTGGTCGCGCTTTGGCGAGCGCTTGGATATGAAGAGTTACTCGAGCCTGAATATGGCGCCAGCCTTGTGTTGGAGCTCCATGAGGAGGTGGAACAAGATAGCTTTTTTGTCAAGGTAAGTTCTAAAACAAAATTTTTCTTTTGCACATAATATTATAGCGTCTCGTCGTTAACATTGTACCGTATAGTGTCGCTGTAAGGAAACTCCTTTAGTTCCTTGGGCATAAATAAAGTCGAATAATGAAATGCCAGAAAAGATTAGCTCCGAAATATGGCGAATTGTATTCGTTCCTGCTCAAGTACAGTCGAGTTCATAGTTATAGTTGTTTGTTTTTTTCGTTTGTTATTAATATTTGTGGATCGTTACTATTCTTGTCTTTTTTTTTTAATAAAATATATTGAAGCTACAGCTATACGTGATAGGTATATAAAGAATAGGAAATATTTAGGTATTTAGCATAGACACGGACAATAGTACGAACCAGCTTTTGTATAATGCAAATAAACATTGACTTTCTGCTTTTTTATAATTCACAAATTACAGAGCTCTTACATATCATTAATAATATTGAAACATAATAAGAAATCAAGATTATTGTCAAACTGACTGAATTTCATTGATCAATTATGAACTTAATTCGCCTTATGACAAAACATGGTTTATTGGTTTAAAAAGAGTCCTTCTTGTGACAAAAATCCCTTCGTCGCAGCGCCACATTCTTCGTAAATTCGAAATAACATTTTCTGCCAAATTCATTTTAGATTGCATATTTTCCACGGTAGGTACTTCTTTGTTATATCATACTCTACTACTAAGTATAAATTAACCATTTTTTTTTTTGTATATAAAAGTGTCAAGTGTCAGTGCCAAAAAGTCGCCATTTATCTCCAGTTCAGGCATGACAGATTTAGCTTTTAGTTTTACACCTAGAAGTTGATTAATTATATTTTTATTTTTGGTTCAATAATTTTACCAAAATAGTGTCTATACCAAGGTGTATAATCTTAACCAACTTAATGAGAAACGCGTACCTCACGTCTTGAAGAACTTTTTGAAATAGGTTGTAGATGCTCTTGTTGTCCATAAAATAATATAAAATCATATTTCACTCAGAATTATATTGGGGTAATTGGAGTATTGTTTTCATCACTGTTTGAGGTACGAGACTGTGTTGGAATTGTCTATGCTCACTGACAATCTTCTTCTTCAGCTGTCGCCTGATCGGATGGTGTAATATACGTTGCAGCTCCTTTATTATTGATAAAATATGCTAACATTCTCCTTTCTCTGAACTCTGAATTCTTTTCTATAGGTATATCAACAAAATAGTAAATCAAATACCAAAACTCATCATAAACACATAAACCCTAGGAAAATATATTGTCTTTGAAAAACCTACGACTTTAGTTCATAATCCTATTTGCAACAGTAGTGGCGAGGGTTCCGGTCTCAGTATAGCTTGGTGAAGCCTTTCTTCACCTATATTTTTATAGTTGTAGCACGAATGGGTCGGCTTGACCGGGGTCCACGGGGACCACGCTCTCACAGAATACCAGTGTAAAATAGTAGCTTAATGCTGCTGTCTTTCGTATGGTGAGTGTAGAGAACCGGAGACCCTTTTTACTGGAACTGCGGCATTCCATCTTAGTCCTCAGGGGTGGTCAACGCATGTGCATTTTGATTCTTAATCCAGGATAGATGTAGATTTCTATGGGCCACAGCAACCACTTACCTTCAGGTGGGCTGTGTGCTCGTTTGTCACCCCCAATGAGAAACGCGTACGCGTAAAAAAGCTATATGTTTATTATCTATGAATTGGGTTTTGCGCTCGTCAATTTGCCTGCTCAATGGGGCGGTATGGACTAACCTAAGGAAAGTATATCAACTGCTGGTCTTTTAAAGATCCACCCGTGGACTAAAAAAGATTAATAATGCGATTTTATACAAGTCTTATGTATTGTTTATATTTCCAGTTATTCTATCGAAACAACACTAAAGTCGAAATTCCAATGGAACTAAATATGCCGTTCTGCGATGACCCCTGCACTTACAAACGATTTATCCAGCACATCGAGTCACTAATACCTGCCGACTGGGAAGCAGAATGTCAAAATTGATATTAATCTGGTGATATTATTTTCATTCTTTATAAATATATTTGATTGTTATTACATGTCATAAACGAGGGGTGTTCTATAAGGTTCTATAAGTCAAATTACAATGTAAGAGTATATTTTAAACATGTCTTCCTACTTGATACACATTATAAATAACCGGTGAAGTGCGAGTTGAACTCGCGCATGAAGGGTTCCGTACCATCGTAACACACGTTTCTAGTAGGGAAGCCCCTTTTATTTTTTATGCGGCACCAGAAATACACATTCTGTGAAAATTTCAACTGTCCACCTATTACGGATCATGAAATACAGCCCGCTGACAGACAGACGGACGGATGGACAGCGGAGTCTTAGTTATAGGGTCCCATTGGATACCCTTTGGGTACGGAACCCTAAAAAGGCTCGAATCATTTTTAGAATAGAAGGGTTTTTTGTATTCAAAAGCGTCTTAAGGGCATTTTTGTTCGATCTTTTACTCGTAGATTATAACGCGAGGTTGTAAATCCGTAGTACAGAACGCTATACTATGAAATAGTATGCACTGTTTTATGGTTGGATTTGATTCCTTTTTTCTGGTACGAAATACATTTTTGGTTTTCCTTTAGCTTTATATCAATGATCTTCCATAGATATATATTGAATTGAATATATAGAATTATTCCGCATTAACTCGTAAAGAAGGTTAGACTTTCCAAAGATGCGCTAGCTAGCTGGTATGCATTACTTGGAAGATTGGCCTCCACTCTGCATAGGCGGGTTGTTAAGGGCAGTAACCTGTTTATTTAATATAAGTATACGTAAGTAGATAATATTTTAACATTGATTTTAAAGCAAATTACTCACTAAAATCGTACACCCCTCGATTACTCATGTATGGTACGTTTGTTTTGTTATTTTGTATTTAAGATTTTAGGTTTATTCAGAATTTTAAGGTAAACAAAATATGCAAAATACTTTTTTAACCATATTTTATTTCTTTACGTATGAAATTGCCGTTTTTTAAATTAAAAATTAAAGATTGTCGAAAAAAAATCGACCTAAGGAAAAGGACCGAATATGAAATACTTAAACAAATTCTTAAGAAAATCAGTACAAAAATTTTAACAGTTACGACCTGCACCACTTGGGATTTTCTGGACCTTGATTATTATCGAGGAATAAAATGTGTTGTTTTGAATTATTTGTTTGTTTTTTTTTGTGTGGATAGTGTTTTTGATTTGTTATTGGATAAAAATAAAATAAACTACAAATAGAATAAACATTTTAATACTCTTGTATATAAAAAACATAACACGTCACATTTCTCACAACTGTACTTGGTCTTTCGGTCTTTTCTCCTGTCGCATTCCGGACACCTTGTTTTAGATATTGCTATTTTTTTAGCGGCTCCTGAGGCGTTTCACCTAATAAATCATATATGCGCTTACGAGAATCCTTCGGAATCCGTGGATTGTCTTTACGGTTTCTCAAATGCTCGTCTATCAGAGCCATTCCTAAATCACGAATAAATCTCCTTCTATGATTCGTTTTTACTGTTTCAATACAATTATTCAGCATGTGTAAGATCATAGCATTGATTCCCGCGTGATTGACCATCGAAAATAATATAGTGAGTGGCCAGCGCCTAGAGTTCGAGGCACGTCATATGTCCTCGCGAGTTTGTCCACAACATCCACTCCACTTTTAGTTTTATTGTAGAATGTAATCATGGACACTTTTTGCTGGTTTCCGTTATCCTCATCTATTTCTTGATCATGATGTAGAGATGATGTCAATTGTCCCTTCCTCATCACAATTCGACAATAAAAATATTGTCTTTTGGGGCTTAGGCATGTATGAAAGCAATGTCAGTTCCTTGTCATAACAAACATAGCTGTTCCTGTCTTCCGGGTAGACATGCGCGCCGAGCAAGAATTTGGCGGCGGCGGCGCGCCGACCCATTGTGGTCGGCGTGGCGACGCCGCGCCGGCGTGGCCGTATTTTATTTTAATTTTTATAAACATTTGTTTAAAATAAGGTAGTAACAAGTGAAACATTGACCTAGATAGGAATTCAAATTTAATTTCTCAAAAAAAAACAAACCAAACAAGTTCTAATTAATTATACCTTATAATTTGTACAAAAACGAAAAAGCACATTTTTTCGTTTTTTGCACAAATTATAGGAAATTAAAATTGTGTTTTTTGCACAATGTATAATTATCATGAATAAAAATAATTTTATTAACGCGTACTGGGCTTAGTCTAGATCTTTTAGCAGCCACAGTTAGTCCCACTATAGAAAAAACGCGCTCACTTGGCGGTTCTGATCACAGAGTACTTTTTATATACGAGGGTGGATTGAAAAGTACTCGGCCTAACCAAGAAAATAAACAAATACTAAATCAGTTATATTTTTATTTTTCTACATAATCACCATCAAGTTCAATACACTTTTGCCACCTCCCCTTCCAAGCATTTAGACCGTTGAAAAAAAATGATTCTTCCTTAGAGTCAAAATATGCGTCTACAGCTGCTTTGACCTCGTCGTTTGTCGAAAATCTTTGACCTCCCAAGTGCTTTTTTAGGTTAGGGAACAGAAAGAAGTCTGATGGTGCCAGATCAGGTGAATACGGCGGATGCGGTAACAGTTCAAAGCCACAGTTGTGAATTTCAGCCATTGACTGTACTGACGTGTGAACGCGGGCGTTATCTTGATGAAACAGGACTTTTCTTCTGAGCATTCCTCGACGTTTTTCTTTTATTTCCTCTCGTAAACGACGTAGTAAGGTGCAGTAGTAATCAGAGTTTATATTCTGACCCCTTTCAAGATAATCAATCATAATCACACCTTTCGAGTCCCAGAATACTGAAGCCATCACCTTATTTGCCGACAAAATCGACTTACCCTTTTTAGGGGGTGGTGAACCAGGTCTTCTCCACTGTTTTGATTATTGTTTTGTTTCCGGTGTACAGTAATGAACCCATGTTTCGTCCATAGTAACAAAACGATTCAAAAAATCATCTGCATCGGCTTCAAATAACTCCAAACAGTCGCGTGAAATAGTCAATCGCGTCCTTTTTTGTTCAACTGAAAGCAGTCGCGGAACCCACCTCGCAGACACCTTGTGGAAACCCAACTCGTTGACAATTATGTTTTGAGTTCGTTCATAAGAGATGCCTATAATCTCGGCTATCTCTCTAATTTTTAATCTGCGGTCTCCCATTATTAAATCAAGTACTTTTTTAATATTTTCGTCAGTAGTTGACGTCGAAGGCCTTCCAGAGCGGGGTTCATCTTTCACACTCTCTCTACCACGCTTAAATTCTGCTATCCATTTTTTGACGGATGAATATGACAGAGCACAATCGCCTAATGTACTGACCATGTCATCATGGATGGCTTTTGATGATAGCCCCTTCTTATGGAGGTACTTAATGACGGCACGCTGCTCGATTTGCTCCATTCGCGGAAATTATGTCCGATTACTTTGTTAATAAATTTATAAAAACACAACTAATTATCGCACACGTTTCGAACTTCACACAATGAACTAGTCTGAACTGAACTAAATAATGTGGGTAGATTTGATTTTTAGAATTGAATGGATATGTGTTAGGCCGAGTACTTTTCAATCCACCCTCGTACATAAAGTTCTGATACGCGCTCCAGAGACTGTAAAAATTTAATTTGTTCTATTTCCGCCGCTCGCTTCAATTCCGGTAAGCGATACCGAACGATTTTTACGATCTTTTTACATTTTTTTATTGATTTTTGAATTTTTAAATAATAGCATGGTTTTATTGACCCCGCGCCCGCGCGCCCGTCCCGCGTTGGATTACGGCGCGCCGATCGGATTTGTCGGCGCGGCGCAGCGTGGGCAGGGCGCGGCGTGGCGCGGCGGCGCCGGCGCGGCGCGCATGTCTACTTCCGGGTACGCTCGTGCTGTAATTGTAACGGTATCTCCCTTTTGTTAGCACGTAGAGTCCCAACCAAAGTCAACTTATACGGTTCTTTTACTAAACTTTTGGCTAGCAGTACTGAAGTGAACCAGTTGTCTATGGATATATTTCTATTTGTGTCGTGCACAGTCCGTGTCAATTTTTTGCCAAAATATTCGCCAAATGGCATCCATCTGTTTTAGTAAAAGAAATTAGATAGGGCTCGGCATCCGCCATATACTTTGTAGAATTATCTACCAATATTACAATTTTCACACCATATTTGTTTGGTTTATTTGGAATATAAATTCTAAAAGGCCATCTGCCTCTCAAACCCAATAACTGTTCATAAATAGTAAGGTAGCAACTAGGTTTATAGTTGTCTTGACATGCAGTTATAAAAAGACCCCACATATCTCGAAAAGGGGCAAATACATCAGTCAATCATCGCTGTTCGCGAGTAGACTTATCGTCAAATTCGAGGCAGTTTCAATTCTTCAAGTTCGTTTTTACAATTATGCTTTGGCTCAGGTCTAATATGAATAATATTTCTTGAGGCTATTCGGCTTCTTGAACTCGGTTTTACTAATGACCATTTGTATATGTCTTTTCCGCAAAGAATATTACTTGTTGGTGTAATAATTAATTCGTGTGGCTGACCTGAAGTACTAGGTAACGGGTCTTCAATTGATAAAGATGTACTTGCCCGGATGTCTTCAGCTGAAGGTGGTTGTTCTGTCACAGAAAAAAAATCTCTTCCTCACCATCTGTTTCCTAAGTCAGATCAGCCTCAAGGTGGTCTTCTATCTCACTCTCAGAGCATTTTTCTTCGTCACTATTATTGTCTAATAACAGCTGACGAATCGTATCTAAAATAAAAATATATTCAAATAAAAATAATGTAAGTTCTTATTTCAATGTAGGCAAAATAAGTACAAAGTTTACAAAACACTGAAATAATTATAACACCAAAAAAGAATGAAAAATAACTTTGCAAGAATAACGTTAATAATAACCTTCGTCGATTCGACGACTCATGGTGGCTGGAACGGCGCACACAGGGCCCCTACACAAAAAACA